ATGAGCCAACAGGCTCGTGTCTTCTGGAGAGTATCTAGTGCAGGGTGGGTGCACTAAGGCATCAGTGGTGTCGATGGTTTGATCTGGTTTGGCTCTTGGCAGAGGCGAGTTCCTCAGGCTGGTGTGGGCCAGCAGAGCTGGGATACAAGTCTGTGGTGGAGCTGCTACATGCTCTGCTGCGATTGCCAGCAAGCTGCTTGCTCCTGTGTGGGAAATGGGGACCTGCCTCTTCTCTGCTCCTCCCTCTTGCCTGTACAAGTTTGAAGCTCTTCAAACAGAGCAAGTTGAGGTGAGAGCTACAGCTGCAAGGTTCTGGGTGTTATAAATGACACCACCAGGAGAAGAGAGGCTGGCTTGTGTTTTATCACATGCAGACAAGCTCTCCTTAGCTGATAACAACCAAACAAAAAACCCTTTCACGAGGAGCAATGTTGCTGATGCTGATCGATATGGACTCTGTACAAGAGTGAGAGTAATTAGCTGATGGGGGAGATCAGAGAGATGTGCTGGAGCCTCTGAAGATCAGGCAGTTTGATTTTTGTTGTTTGATGCAGCTCAGTGGCTGCTGGGGGTTAGAAGCAGCCCTGTGCAGGTTGTTTTGGCCCTGCTGTGCCTGCTCCCCTGGGGCACTGGGCTGTGGGTGCAGCCCTGGCAGGGAGCTGGGCATGGTATGGGGGTGTTCCCCTTGTCACCCCTGTCCTCCAGCCCTTCCTCAGCAGAGCCCTGTGGACCAGCAGCCATCTGTTTTGAGCTCTGGATGGTGGTGCAGCAGTTTCCTTGGGAGGCTGTTCAATAATTTCTTTGCTACAGGGGCAATGTGAGAGTAATACTAAGCAGGCTCTGCAGTAGCACCATATGGATTGCTTTTGTCCTTGAATGGGAATGGGATTCTGGTTTTAATCATGCAGAATTCAGCACTGGCCTCAGTAAATAGCAGGATGTGTCAGTGCATTGCAAAGTTTCGTATGTCTAATTTCTAAATGAGCTTTTAGCAAGTTTGTGTTAACTTGCTGGATCTCCAAGATTTCCAGAGGGGAATGCAGCAAAAAGCAACTTTTCTAAAAGGACTAAGGAACAAGATCTCTTTCTACCACTTCTATCTGTCTCCCTCTGGGTTTTCACTCCCTGCAGTGGATTTGTTGGCAGACAGTTCCCAGGCGTTTGGGAGTGAAAGGGAAAGTCCTGGGATAGCCTGTGGGATCTGGAATGAGGAGTGTTTGTGAAATGGCTGTTTTGTCCCACCTGGGGCAGCTGAGGGACTGAGCAGAAAGGAATGATGTGCTCAGCAGGGCTTTGCTAAGGAGCAGGAGGGCGATGGCAGAACTGTGGAGACCCAGATAGGAGTGTACAGATAGGAACCAGCTGGCCCAGCAGCAGAGAACTTCCCCAATATCCTCCCTTTTCTCCAGACCCATCTACTGGACCACAGCTGGCTGCTATTGCCAACTTGTGAAGAAACAACAAAAAAAACCCAAAACAAGCAAACAAAAACCCAAAAAAGCCAGCTTTTCAGGAAAACCTTTAATTTTAGGCAGTTTTTTCATTGAACACCCAAGTACAGGGTTTTGTGGTATGCTAGCAGTATGCCTGCTAGAGCTCTGTCTGAGATCAAGAAGGATAGGGGAAGGATGCTCCTTTCCCAGGGATTGCTCACACCCTGAGAGCTCTGAATCCTCCTCTGAGGTTGTACAGCATCAGCCTTCAGCAGGCTGGATTTGGGCAGTAGTAGGAGACAGACCAGACTTTTAGCATCATTTTCTTGTTTCTGAGCACCCTGGAGCTCTAAGTCTTGACTAAATCCAACTTCAGCTGTCCCTGGTCAGGCTTTCTAACACAAGTTGTGATAAAATGTAGTACACAGGCACTCCCCTGCCCTGCTTGCTGTGTTTATGGGGTGGCTGTGAGGGTTAACAAATAAGGATTTCTATTACATTTGAGCTCTTTTCCTGGATGATGCTCTAGGAATCCATGGGATTGTTATCTGGATGCAAATAGGCCTGAAATAGTGTTACCTTTCCCCTGAATTGAAGAATGGGTCTAATAAAACCAAATTTAACAGAGTGCTGCATAATCAGACTTTGTCCTGAGGGCTCTGTGATATCTTAGGTGATTTCATTTTCATTATGAAGCAATACCAGTGCATGCCCTTTTTGTGTCCCTTTGTGACACAAAGAGGAGCAGGGATGCATCAGGCTCAGCAGAGAAGGACAAGCACTTTCAACATGTAAATAAAACCCCTAAATGTGCTTTAAACAAACATAACCAATATCAACCCATGACATACCTGTTACCCATTGGTTAATTAGGAGCCACCCTTTGGTAAACACCTTATGAGAGAACTGTTTAAAACACCAGCTGCAAGATGGTTTGTAATTCTTTCTCTCAGTCTTCTCAAACTCCCCAGAACAATTCCTGGGAAAGTTTATCTGGCTTTCTCTCTCTGACCAGGCTGTCACAACCACAGGCCCAGTTGCCCATGAAGGGAACTAAGGAGAGGCCATGAGTTTGTCTAAAAGAAGAATAATCCCCAGACCCTCATGGAGCACATTTAAGTGCAGCAATACAGATCATTATTTTGGTTCAGTTTGTTTAAAGCACATTTAGGGTGCTCAGTCCCCTGTCCTTCTCCCTTCATGGATGGCTATTTGCACAAGGCTGCATGGAGAAGGGGATTTGCAGATAGCAGGACTTTCAGCCAGCTGGCAGGAGACTTTGGTGGCTGTCACTCACAGTGAGTGGGTGAGACACTGCTCCCAGTCACCTTCCCATGCCAGCCTGGTATTATTTTAAATGGATGCCAGGTGTTCAAAAGCACCTGGGAGGTGACATTCCAGAGGCCAGGCTCACTCCTGGGCTCCTCTGAGCCTCTCTGAGCACCCAAGGTCAGACTGTCAGAACTGTAATGTTCTCAGGAAACTCAAATATTCATTGGCCAAGTGAGCCATTGGTTGATGGCTTTGATTTTTGCAAAGGATGTGTTTCTAATTTCTTTGTTCTTTGTTTCTGTGTTTCTGGGGACCAGAGCAGAGATGGGAACTGAGGAAACACATGGCAGCTGGAAAACTGCCCACAGTGTTCCTCAGCTTTCATTAAATGGTGCAGAGGCAGGGAATGTATTCTACAAAATGCACAGTTATATTAGAGAGAAAATGCTTTGTGGTTTTGTTTTGTTTGTGTTTTTTTACTTTCCTATAAGGAAGAAATAATAGAAAGCCTGGAGTACTTGCTTGCCTTAATTTTCACAGACCAAACTCCAGGGATGTACTCACATGGTCCATATTTGTTTGGGGCTTTTTTAGAGGCTTTGGGAATCTCAGCCCTGTGGTATCAGGCGTGACAGCAGACACCTGCCTGAAAGGCAGCTCATTATCTCTTGAAGGAAACCTTCACTCCCCCCTCACCCTTATTTGCTCTCCCTATATTACCATAATGAAATGTCAGCTCTGCTGCTGAGCAGATGTTGCCTCCTAATTACTGTTGTTGCAGGGTTTGGGTGTTTATCCTGGCTGTCTAGGCAGGCTGTTAGCAGTAATGCCTCCCACCACAGCCTGGCCATGCAGTTGGTGCACATCTGGAAGAAGATGTAAGTACTGCTGCTCTCCAGCAAGTTTTAATCTGCTGGATCTCCAGAGCAGCTCCTTGATGTGCCAAGGACAGCATCCCCCAAAAGTGCTTTCAACTGAGGAGAGGGCCCTGCAGGAAAAATACCTGCAAGTGTGACTTCCCCTCCCCAGGCAAGGCCTGCTGGAAAGTTGGTTTGAAAAGAGCAGAAAGTTAAATGAAGTTTGTTCATTCTTGGTCCTAAAGCACAAACTGGGGTGCTCTGTGGGGCACGCTGCCTTTGTGGCAGTGTGCTGGTCAGGTTTGTAAAGCAGGAAAGGGTTAGACCAGCATTTTCCTCCACCCAGTGTGTATTTCCTAGGAGATATGAAAAGTGCTCATGGAAGTATAAAAACAAACACGCTCTGTTGGCAAGAAGGAAATGTGAAAACATTGGTTGGAGCCAGGGGAGGAGGGAGGACAGGGGGTCCTGGTCCTCTGGGGAGGGCAGGATTAGAGGATTTCCTCCTCCTCCTTCAGTACTCTTGGGTTTTCTACAGTTCTGCTTTGGGGTCATTTCATGTTCTGAAAGTTGGTGGTTTTGGGTTTTTTTTATTTTTCGAGTTCCTGAGAAATCAGCCACTTCCCTACAACTCCCTGCTTCACTCAGTGGCCTGGAAATGTCTTTCAACTGCAATATTGCACAAGAGAGGTGGTTTTTGTTGTTGTTTTTGGTGCATCTCAGCCTCCAAACTCTCTGCAAGGGTTTGTTTCATGTTTGATGTACAAGCTCTTCAGCTGGTGCCCATGGTTGGCCCCATGGAGTGAGACAGGGCTGGAGCCTCATGGAATGAGGGCAGGTTTGGCCACAGCTCTGGCTGCAGGAGTGGTGGGAATGGCTGGGAGCTTTGGGCCAGGTGGGGTTTGGGGTGATGCAAAGCAAGCTGAGGTTGTTTCTCGATTTGTGGGCTCCACTGAGAAGCTTGGATGAATAAAGAGTGCCTTTTTGGGGTGCTGGTGTTGCTCCAAGCTTGGAGCTCCATTATTCCACCTTTTGAGCTGGAAATGCCCACTGATTTCTGAGCTGTTGGCTGAACCTGTCACTCAGCTGCTTGTCACCTCTTCCATACTACCTGTGGTTCTGCCCTTCTGATGAGGCCAAGCAAATCTGCAGAATTTGAGTGTTTTCCTTCTCCAGCAGCACTGGTTGTTCCCTCTGGCTGAGCTGTCCCTGAGTTTGTGTATTTTCATTGCATAATTCCTAGATGTATTTCTAAGAATTGTGTCCCAGTGAGGCACCAAAAAGGAATGGCTGTAGGAACTGCTATATTCCATCTCCAGCAGCAGCTGGGAGTGTGTTGCCTGAGCTTGCACCTTTATTTTCCCCCTCCTGGAAAGGTTTCCCCTGGGTATGTTGGCTGCTGTGGCCAATTTTGCTCTCTTTTTTGGGTGTTTTTCAGTGCACTACCAGAAGATCATCCACAGGGACATCAAGCCTTCCAACTTGCTCTTAGGAGATGATGGCCACGTCAAAATTGCTGATTTTGGTGTCAGCAATCAATTTGAAGGGAATGATGCCCAGCTTTCCAGCACGGCAGGGACACCAGCCTTCATGGCACCAGAGGCCATCTCACAGACTGGCAAAAGTTTCAGTGGCAAGGTAGGTCTGTGCTCACTGTGGGGCTCCTGGTACCCCCAGGCATGGCACAAAGGGCAGTGCCACACCTGCATCCTGACTGTGGTACAAATTAAGGCTGTCAGTCAGTAAAACTAAAGCTCTAATTCCCTCCAGGCCAGGCAAAGCTCACGTTGGTTGTTCTGTGCAGTGGGCAGACACTTTGCTGTGGATCCCTGCCTGGCAGGAGCCATGCTAGAGTCCTTTCCCTGCCCCAGGGGAAGGGAGGAAGCCTTTGATTCCCTCCCAAAATAATCAAGAGGCACAGGGGGCTGCTGAGCACCAAGGTCATACCTTGATTTCCTGGGAGTGAGAGACACTGCCAAGGGTGGTGATGCAGACATGGGGATAGGGGCTAATAGGGATTTTTTTTGTCTGGAAAACGTTTAAGGTTCAGCCCTGAATGGTGTAATTTCCTGTAGGAAGGGGCTGCTTGCTGGTCACAGCAGGGCAAGGGAGCAGTGCCTGGCCCAGCACAGCCCTCATTCCTCAGGTGTGCAAGAGCTGCCCTTAGGAGCCCAACTGCAAAGTGACACAGAAAGTGTTAAATCCATACAAAGAGCATGATGTGAATTGGTGGGGGAATCCAGCTTACTCAGATCATCTGTGTTGCCTCTCCTTTACTCTCTGTTCATGTTCTCTTTCAGGCCCTGGATGTGTGGGCCATGGGAATCACCCTGTACTGCTTTGTTTATGGGAAGGTAAGCTGCCTTTCAGTGCTGGAGCCCTGCACTGCACTGTCTGCCTGCCTTTGGACTCATTCCTTTCCAAATAAAGGCAAATATTAGAGACAAAGACCCCTGCAGATCAGAAGGGGCTGAGGCTGTGATCTGTGGAAAGGATCATTTCCAGCACTGGGCCCTGAATGCAGAGCTACAAACCCAGAGCAGCAGCAGCACCAGCAGCAGCTTGTGGGGGGTTTAGCCATATTTCCTGCATTTAGAAATGAGCCAGAGCATGGACAGAGGCATAGGATTGATCCCAAACTGTTGCAGCACTTTGGGAATCAGAGATCTCTGTCTGCCAAAGCTGAGTTAGGACTGATGGGGGTCCAGTTTGGCAGAGGCAGCTCTTCATTGCTGCCTTCTGCTCACTCTGTGCCCTGTCATGTTTCCCCCCTCCATGTCCCACCTGTGCTGTGCCAGGATGAGCACAGGAGGTGTGAGCAGGAATGAACCTGAACCTCTGACCTCTGCAGATCCCCCCACACAGGCACCAGGCATCCAGCTCTGGGTGAGGAGTGGCCAGGGGTGGTGACAGAGACAGTTCATGGTCACCTGGCAGGCTGGATGGAGGAGGGTATTCCAGTCCAGTTATGTATTCCCTGCATGCCTCTGCTGTTCTTCTGAATTTATTTTTTAATGAGGAATGAATCGATTTATTGTGTGTGGGGAGATTTAATTTATTTCCATCTCTGTGTAAAATCCAGAGAGTGCAGAGGTTGTACTTGGTGTTACATGAATGACAAATGCCTGAGTGATGCCAGGATCTTGGACAACTGGAAAGTCTCTTTGTTTGTTTTACAGTGCCCTTTTATAGATGAATATATTCTGGGTCTTCATAACAGGATCAAGACCAAGCCTGTGGAGTTCCCAGAAGAGTGAGTAAACTTTACTCAGCTCAGCTGCTGTAAAATAAAGCTCAGTTTTCAGCATTATCCCCTGTGTGGCACAGTGGTCACCACGGCGGGATGGACATGAGTGGGTGAGGTGCTCTGTGTTCTCCTGGGTCCTTCTTGTGGGTTTTGTGCTGGTGTTGAGGTGTTCAAAGTGCTTCTGCTCTTCCTCTGTCCTTGTTGTGCAGACAGGGATAAAGGAAATGGCTCTTTGGAAGTGAAGGGATTCCAGGATCGAGGAAGTTCTGCCCCACCTGCTTCACTCTGGAGATGCTGGATGCGTGGTTTGGTTGGGATTTTCTGTCTCCCCATGCAGCAGCCACCAGAATGATTTATGTATTCATTTTCAGAAGCAATGTGGTGATGAACCTTGGTCTTGGTCTAAGTAAACACATCCCTCTCCTGTAGACTTCCCTTGGAGCCAGGGGAACTGTCTGATGGAAGGAAGCTTGGCCTGAGATGTGCAACCACAGCTCAGCAAATCCCACTCCTGCAGCACACCCCAGGACAACATGGGTTTGTCTTTTGCACTGGCAGAGAGGAAAAAAACTGGCAGTTATGAAAAAAACAGGAATTAATTCAGCAATGACCTATTGAGGGTTTGGCCAGGGAAGGGAAGGAAAGCCCCGTGGGGCACAGTGGCAGTGCTGGGGTGTCAGGTGGGAAGGCAGCCGTGGCCACAGCGTGTCCTGAGCAGAGCAGGGGACAAACCAAGGCCACTCAGGTGGCATTTGAGCAGTGGAGGCTCAGAACTGAGCTGATGAGTGCTTGTGGTCAGAGTCTGGCAGGAGGGGGTGACACTCCCTGTGTGCTCAGGGATACTGGCTCCATGGTCACCATTCCTGTAGCTTCAAGTGTTGGCCACTCCTCAGCATTTCCTCCAGCTTCAGGCCTTTGGTACTTCCTTTTGGTGAAGAATTTGTTTCCCGTGGTTGCTGACAGATGAATTAGCCAGAGCTGGACTCTTTGTTTTCCTTCCCAAATCCACCCAGCAGTCAGGCAAAGAATTCTTGACCTCACTGCTCATGCCAATAAAAATTTTTAGATAAAATTACTTGATTTGGAGCAAGCACAAATTAAAACTCTAATGAGAGGCATGTGTGGTGTTAGAGGGGAAGGGAGGGATGTTGTCAGGCAGCCTGTGGTGTGTGCATGTACCCAACATCTGGGGCAAGGCAAGACTTTTCTGTGAGATGGTCACTGAATTTTCACATTACAGTAAAGTCTGGGCCTCTACCTTGGCAGTCCCAGACTTTCTTCTGATTCCACAGAAAGGGATGGATGCTAAGGGTACTCTGTTTTAGACACTTGGGCTGCATTAATTTTACCCTGCAGTCAGTGCAGACAGCTCAGCCCCTCTGCCCAGCTGGAGCCTGCACAGCACCTGCAGCCCCGAGGCCCTGGGGCTCAGCCCTCTTGTAGGGCACACACAGACCCCAGGGTGGCTAAGGAGCAGTTCTGGCAGGCCCAGGTCACTGGGCTTGAGGCTTTAGGAGCACAAAAGCTGGTCATGCTCCACTGCTGTGTCCCCACCTGCAGCCAAAAAAACCCCAAACCTGTTTATGTTCCCCTGGCAGTTTTCTCCCTTGCTCAGGGCTGGCAGAACTCCCACCCCTCCCTCAGCCACCATGTATTTGGGTTAGCAGTCAGCTTACAAGTGACTGTTCCCATCTGCCTCTGCAGTAAGTTATTAACATTTAATAGGCTAACTGGGTTGTGCTGAGAACTTTTCCTTCATTCAGGCATTTCCTTCAGCCATAATTGGGCTGCATGATTTATGTGGATTCCTCAGTGACCTGTTCTCCCAGTCTGAAAAAAGCTGCACCCCTGATTAGGTTGTTGGGGAAGCTGAGGGTTACTAGGTGTTGACAGCTGTCCAAACCACATCTATTTGTTAGAGGCAGCCACAGAGACATGGAATTCACTGGAGTGGATCCACCCTGACCTCCCACAGAATTAGCACCTCTCTATAGTGAGGAGTATTTTGGTTTCAATTTATTTCACCATGGCTACAAAAGACACATTCCTGTTTGCAGAGAGCCCATGGAAACTCACTGCCTGTTTCCTGACAACCTTTAGGACATATGGATCTGACTGTACCAGTGTCACCATCCTGTCCCTTCCCTTAGAGACACCAGGATAAATATTTATGGCGTTCTCATTCATGTCACTGAGTCCTTGCCATGACACGAGGCAAATGGGCTTAGCTCACACCCTGAGGATCCTGGCATGAATAAAAAGCTAAAATTCCTCTTCAAACGTGTCAGCAGAGCCAGCAGCTCTGCCTAGTCCCTCCTGTGAAGCCCAGGACAATGTTTCCTGACCTGCAGGCACCCTGTAAAGTGATCTGGGTGCTGGCAACCCTCCTGAATGGATGCTGAGCCCTGTGCCTGGCATCTTCCTGAGAGCTCTTACAGGACTATGGCTGTGAGACACCACAGACAGCACAGGCTTTTCAAAGGCAAAATGCCACCAGGCACAGTGTTCCCACTGCTGCAGAATGGGAGAAGGGAAACCAGAGACAGGGTGATGTGATCTGTTACCTGGCCATAACCCACCTGACACTTGGTGATCCTGTTGATGGGGCTTTTCCCTAGGTCTTTAATCCCATGTTGCATAGAAATCAATCTGGTGCACAGAAATGTTAAGTGATTTAATATTCTATTTATTGTATTTTAAATAAAGCTGTTGACACTTTGGCACAGAACTGATTTAAAGTATTTTTTAAAATGCCATCTCACCTGCATCAGTGTGGTGTCTGGAAGGAATCTGTTTGTTCTGAGCTGCTAAATGCACTGTCAGTGCCCGTGGTTGTTCCTCTGGAGCTCATCTCAAGGGCAGCACCATTCTTTCCATTCCAACTGGAATTGTCACCCGAGTCTCTGAGGTCTCATCCTGCTCTTCCCCTTTTCTGGGCTCTATTGCCTGTGTACAGCAGAGCCTTGATGCAGCTCTGTGTTTACACTTCAAACTGAACCCCCTTTTTGCCTCTGAACAAGCAGCATTTCCTTGCAGTTGTTTCTAAAGATCTCATAGCCAAAGTCCCAGTAAAATATTCATTAATTATTAAACAACACCTCTGTTTTCATCAGACTGAAATACCCCTTGCTGTGATGTGGTTTTCGTTTTGGTTTGTGATGGTTTATTCCCTTCTGTGCAGAGGAGATGAGCACAGCACCTGGTGCTCACTATTGTTTTCAGTCTCAAATCCAGCCTGCCTGGGGAGTGACATTTAGTGCTGCTCAGTCCCATCTCCATGAAGAAACACAATTCTTCAAGAGTCATTTTTGTGACACAGACTTTCATCTGGCTAATGCAATTCAGTCACATGTTGGCATTTAACTGCAGCAGCACTTTGGTCATTAGATCTAGTGCATTTTAAAGGCTTCTCCTGCATCATTAACCACAGGAGTCATTGCAGCCTTTGGGCTGCAGGACCAAGGGCTTCATGCCAATAGATTGGCTTCTGGGTTCAGGTGCTCTCACAGCTAGGTCTTGGAAATAGTGTTAAAAATGTAGATGTATTTCTCTTATTTGCATTTATTCATCCCTTCCTGTTGTTACCCCAAGGCTGAGCTTTGCAGGTAGGGAATACTGAGTTACAGGCTGCCTGCAATCTGTGTTCTGGAAGTAATTTAAATAACACAACCTGGAGGCTTAGCTGGGAACTCGAATGTCAGATGGGGGTGTTTTATCCAGCATACAGTTGCTCATGATGCAGGTTCAGCAAATCAAGCTGTGCCCTCTTGATTCACAGAGTTCAACTCCAGTTCTGCTCTCAGGAACACTTTGTTGTTCCAGATCTCCCCTCAGAAATTCCCCTACATAGTGCTGTCTTCAAGGATGTCCTTAGACCCCTTCACCTGATCCCTTCTCCTGCATTTTGAGCGTGTGCTGCTGTGTTTGGGGGCAGAACAGGATAACCAAGGCCTGCAGCAGTGAATGTGGTGCCTTCCTTTTTTCCAAGCCAGGTTTGCAGAGAAAACACCTCCTGAGCAGAGCAGATTCTCTACCAGGTAACTGCAGTGAGAACTGTGCATTGCTGCCCTTACAACTGCCTTGTTAAGCGTGTGCTGCTGTTTTCTTCACTCAGAGCACAGATAAGTGAGGAGCTGAAGGATCTGATACTGCGCATGCTCGATAAAAATCCAGAAACGAGGATAACAGTCCCTGAAATAAAGGTAAGGTGGACCTTGATATAAACAAGCTTTTAGTCTCAGCTGATTTTATGTCCTTTGGTACCTTCTAATGAGGCAGAGCTCTTCCCAGTGTTTGTTTTGGGAGCTGTCTCTAGCACCCTCCCTCGGAGGAGGGTACTCATTTTGCAGCCACAGCTCCATCACTGCTTCTTGCTTGGGGAATATTGACAAAAGCTTTCTTGTTTGCTTGTTTAAATGAAAATTACTCAAAAGCTGGCTGATCTCAGTGAATCCCTGGGAGAATCAACACTGTCAGGGGAGCTGCTAGTTGCAGAGCCTGGGCTGGCAGTGTTGGATGTGCATTCCAGGGATTGGGTGTGTGTTCTTGCCCTGGTCCTTGTGTGGCCAGTGGCCTCAAGGCAGCACATTCTTTTCTATCACCATTATTTGGGAGATGTTTAATAATAGAAAGAATGAACAGGCCTGACAGAGCACAATGCTTCACAAGTTATGGTTTCATTCTGGATTTGTGTGGGCTTGCTGTCCTCCTGTCACCCCTCACCAAGGCTTTAGACCTGCTGAAGGATCCCAGAATTTCCATAGACATCCATCAGCAAGCTCTACAGGGCAAGCTCTGCTTTGCTTTGTCCCAGGCCAACACCAGTATTGCCACCAAAGCTGACACTAGAAAAGCTGAGCTTCAGGAAAAAATTGTGACATCCCTTCTCTCCATGCCCAGGTTTGGAGATTTTTTTGGCCTCAAAAAACAAATCTTGGCCTCAAAGGCAGGTTTGGAGCTGTATTTATGGGATTTCACTTGCCAGCTCTTGCAGGCACACTGTAAGAGCCTGTGGGTAGAAGAGCAGAGCTGCGTGCTGGCCCTTGTCCCTGGCTGGTGTGCTTGGGGACTTGCCTTGGATGCTGACAGAGGACGTGTCAGGCTGGGCCCTGTGCTCAGCCCATGCCCTCAGACAGGGCTTCCTTCCTGCTCCCAGCCAAGAAACCATCCCATGAGAGGCAGCAAGAACAGGGGGCTTTGCTCTGCTGCATGCAAGACAAAAAATGAAAATGCTTCAGACAACTCAGGTTGTCAGAGTGTTCCAAACTCGATTCAGGGTGTGCCGTGGTTCTGGTGGGTGGCAGCAGGTATGACAGCACTGAGCCAGACTGCAGCCATTTCCAAGGAGGCTGGTTCAAATCACCTCTGGCAGTGGGAGATGGAGCAGCAGTGGCAGCAGTGAGCCCTGTGCCCCACTGCTGTCCCAGCCGGGCTGTGTCCCCGTGCAGGTGCACCCCTGGCTGAGCCGGGGCGGCGCGGAGCCGCTGCCGCTGGAGGAGGAGCACTGCTCCGTGGTGGAGGTCACCGAGGAGGAGGTCAAGAACTCCGTGAAGACCATCCCAAGCCTGCCAGCCGTGGTACGTGTGACACACCACATCCTCGGAGCAGGGGGCTGTGCTGAAGCCTTCAGCTGCTGGAGGAGGTTTGGAGAGGGGACACGTGTGTTCTGGCATGAAATCTGGGCTGTTTGACCCGGTGTGAACTTCTTCTGTGTGACCACTGCAGCAGCCTGGCTCTCTCAAGCAGCTGTTCTCTGGGTTCCTTTGCTTCGTGCTCTTTGCTGTAAAATGTCAGCTGAATTATTAAAGAAGCTGTTGTTCCTCCTTTGAACTAGCTTCCAGGAGCCAGTCCTGCTGTTCTCACCGCTCTGTTCTCTTCCTCAAAGATCCTAGTGAAGGCCATGCTGAGGAAACGCTCCTTTGGGAACCCCTTTGAGGTCCAGACGAGGCGGGAGGAGAGATCCATGTCTGCTCCAGGGAACCTGCTGATGTAGGTACCTGCACCGTGCCTGGCTCTGCAGCACAGCCTGTGGGGAGGGAGGGTGGGGAAGCACTTTGCAAATCTTTTCTGTAGCATTTAAAGACAAAACTCCCTTCTGCATCAAACACTGAAGATAAAATCTACCTCAAGTCCTCTCAGATTGAAGTACAGTGTACTGCTGCAGCCTAAAAACTCTTTTATAGATGCAGTTCTCTCTGTAAGATGGGTTTGGCCTAAACACATGTAAGGTGCTAAACTTGAGTCTCTTTTTTCACCTGTTAGTTTATAATGCTGTGATCAAAGATCCATTAGAGATTGGTGAAGTAAGATATGTTTCATTAGGGTCTAGTTTGGATATATATTGGAGGGTTTAATTCTTCTCTCCTTTCTATGGGCAACAGAAATGGTACCAAATGAGCAGTTTATGTAGGTTTTTTCACTCAACATGAGATTATGGCATTTGACCTGGGGTCTGGGGCCCATCATGGTCAGACAAAAGAGAACACTTTGAAATTGCCTTTTCACTTGAGAACACATTCGGGGTTTTTTTCACAGTTTTTTGCCAGTTAATGAAATAGTGCAACACGTTACAAAGGGATACTTTGGAGGCTAGGTATGAATTACTATATTGAGATTAAAAAGGGAATAGAGATCTTGATGACTAATAGATTCATTAGCAGGTTTTAACCATGATGGTGTGTACAGGGATGGGGAGAGAATTCTTCTGTCCTTTACGTGGTTCTTACTCTTTCTCCTTCATATCTGTCACAGATTTCATTCAGAGCCAGGATTCTGGGCCATCAGTCCAGTAAATAACAGCTGGACCAGTAGCCTGATCTGGGACAATTATTTTTATATAAATAAAGTTCTCACCCCACAGGATCTATAAGGCTGTGGCTGACAACAAAGCTGTGTTGTCCCAAAATGATTCTTTCCCACCCAGAATCCCAGTCCCATTCCTAGCAGACTCCCAGGAGGGTGTGCTGAGTCTCACTGCACCATTGATAACACAATTAGAAGAGTCTCTCTCTGTCTCTCACAGGTGTGTGGGGATTTCAGGGCTCAGCTCAATTAAGGATGATAATGTTCTAAATCCCCAGCTGATTACTGGAGACTTAATGAAGCCTTTGTCTTGGTGTCCATGGCCAGACACCAGTTTGGCATTGAAACACCCTGCTCATGAGTGCTGCTGTGGGACACATCTGGAGCACGGCAGTCACAGCTCCTTTGCCATCTTAGCACAAGGGATTTGCCCTGATTTGTTCCTCTTTGCTCAATGCCTTCCAAATTAGTTATTGCTAATTGGACAGATGTTCCTACCCATATCTTCACTATCATTGCTGGTCATTGCATTACGTTGTTCTGAAATGGGGAAACATTTACTAAATTTGAAGAAAAATATTTTTTTTTCTTCCCAGACAGGTAACTTGGAGCAAGGCAGATTTTCTTTTCAAACCCTGCCTGAACTGATATTTCAGGCTGGTAACCCTGGGCCTGTTTCCAAAAGGGATCTGTTCCCTTCTACCTTTCATTTGAGATGCTTGAAAACTCAGCCAGATGGTGGGAAAATTCCTTGACCCTTGATGCTGGTTCCTGCCTGGAGCTGGTTGCTTTACTATCTGCTCAGGAAAAACAAAGTTCATTTGATCTGAGGTAGCTGTGAAACTTCTGACCAGCCCATTATCAATGTCTTGTCCTCTATAAAATAGTCTTAGGCTTAAATGATGGGCTGTAAGCCTTCACTTTTGTGTCCTTTTTAAAGTTGCTAGTCACCTTTTTTTCAGTTCATTGAAACCCAGCATCTTCCCCTGTCTCAGCTCATTCTGGACCTGTGTGTTTTCAGGCTACTTGTACAGGCTAAAAGGCTTATTTTTAAAGCAGTGTGTAATTTCCACTGTTGTGCTGCTGTGTCTGGTGCCCTTAGTTTACAAAACCATGCCAGGCCAGGGACGGAGTGCAGCCGTGCTGGGCTGGCCTCTGCCCAGCTGTGTGAGCACTTAGAAATATCCAAAATCAACATGAATGTGCCAATTCTCCACTGCACAATCCCTGTGCTTAATTTCTCAGTCTCATGCCATCAGTGCCAATTTTTGGCAGTAACAATTGACTTAATCCTAAATTACTTCATGCACAACTGGAGTTTTGAAAACCCATCTCAAAACTGTTGTTTAAAAGAAAGACACTTGCCAAGTCTCTCCAACAAATGGTGTTGTATATTAAACACCACAGCAGGGATGCTCCTTTTAAGGCATACGGGTTATTATTATTTCAGACTTTGGAAAACCTTTTACTGACTGAATCTAATGAAAATAACTTCAAATTTAAATAGATGTGTTGGATCTAATGACATTAATCTCAAGTGAACCACAGCTAAATGGGAAATATTCATTGTTCAGTGAGTTATCTCTTGATGACAGTGTTATTTCCTCAGGGGCAAACAGAGTAGACACCAAGCTCATCCACTTCTTAATTCATATTGCTTGTTCCCTGGAAAAACCACCCTTGCTACACATATAAAGTGCCAATGTTATGATTATAGCTGTGTTAAAGTAAGTTTCAAGTGAGTCTGGATTTCTGTAAAGCTTTAGGATCTTGAAGAAGCAGATAATACTGCTGTAGTAAAGCTCTGCAGAGAGTTTCTGCATGTCCCTCACTCTTGTTGCTGGACAGGGGACCCTGAAATTGGGACATGCCAGAAAAGCAGTGCCTGCAGCCATCGCTGTGCTGTGGACATGTGGCTGCCCTGGAGGAGCTGAGAGAAAAATGAGCCACACATTGCCAAGCTCTCCTGCACAGAGCTCTTTGTCCCAGTAGCAGTGCCTTTAGAGGGACATAAGTCAGCTTGTGTAATATTGCAGCTCCTTCTGGCTGTAGGTAGGAAATAACTTTTTGTGTTTCTACGGAAGAAAAAAGGAAAGCAATTAGAATACTCCAGTTTCACATTCAATTTATTTAATTAGGCTGCATGTGAAATTGCCAGAGCCCCACTCACTGCTGCTTCAAGCCTCTTACATCTGTGCCATTTCTGAGGATATACTCTGTAGGAAATCCTCTGGCAGTGAGCTGAGCTCTGGTACCAGAGCTTTCTGCTGTTTGATGCCTAATTGATGACTCTTAAAATGGAGCTGTCCTTCAAGCTCACTCCTTGGGATTTGGAGAGGAGGAAACTAAATCATGTGGCTGAATCTTTTTTTAATTTCTCCCTGCATTACCTACACAGCATGCTGGGCTCTGTTCCTGGAAATGCTCTGGGCAGGTATCTGTGGTAGCAGCAGGGCTCTCCTGCTGCAGCCTTGATGCCTTTAGAGGACACCATTAAGACCCCACTGATGTGAAACAGTCCTTAAGTTATTCTTGGAAGGACAGAATGGTTTTTTAGCACTTTTTTGACCTGGAAGAAGCCAATCCTCTCCTGGCTGTTATTTATTGCTCTGTTTATCAGCACTGAGCAGTTTAAAAGGCAGATGTTCAGTGCAGACACACTCAGCAGGTGGAGGGGAGCTAAAATGATCATGCCCCATTTAGCAGTTGTTGTTTTGCACACCTAGAATGGTGTGAGTGCTGCCAGCTGTCACCTCCCCTGTCAGCTGGGCGGTGGCCAGGTGTCACTGGATCCTGCCTTTCCTGCAGGAACTCCCAGGAGAGGCAGTGATTCATGGAGTCGTACAGATCCTGCAGATCGTGGCCAGGTTCAAGCCCATCATTAATGGTGGCTGCAGAAGCAACTCATCTTTTTTTTTTTAAGGCCACTTCAGCATTCACAGCTAAGTTCTGGATTTCTGGTAGCAGTGTTTGCTGCATTTCTTCTGCCTGCTCCACATTTCTCCTGATTGAGTCAGCACTGGCTTCACCACATTTTATTGCTCTCATTTATTGCAAGCACTACCTATCAAATTAATTGCTGTGTTTTGACAGACCCAATTTACTTTCCCATTATGGCAGCTAATACTGTTGACGAAATGTGGTTGTCAGCTCCTCCATGGGGGATCAGTTGGTATTTTAAAAGCCTATCCTGTTTCCAGCCTTCCCAAAGGAGACCCAAAGGGTCACTGCCCTTAGGGCCACATTGTCCATGTAGGTTAGGCACAAGGAAGCCAAGGGGGAAAAGGAGGTATAAAAAGTGGCTGTCCCAGGTCTCTGAGCAGAAACAGCTCCTCCCAAAGAGAGAACTGCATGTTTTGTGGGAAGAGCCATGCCCCACATGCAGGTGGGTGTCCTCACAGGGCTGTGGCACAGGACTTTCCTCTGGAATGACCCACCACCAGCAGTGAGGGGCCCAGTGCCCCTGGGGCTCTGCCCCGCTGCACAAGGTGCTGATAGGACACAAAAGCCCAGCGGTGCCCAGGGCAGCACAGGTGGACATCAGCAGTGTGCTGGAGCCATCTGGGACTTCCAGCAGTGGTAGGGGCTGGAGAGGGTTTGTACAAGAGCTACCAGTGCCTGTCCTCATCTGTCCTTAGGTAAATGTGGCTGATGTTCCATCCCATTCCACTCTGCACTCTAGGCTGGACAGGCACAGAAATACAAGTTCCTTCACCTGCTGCCATTATCTTCATGATCATTTTCTTCCTTTGTCTCATTGTTTTGCTCTCAGGGACAGATTCCTCTTAAACACATCTGTATATTTGCATCCATCTTTAAGGTAATTCCATGTCTGTGTTTCCCCTGGGTGCTGTAGAAACCTGTGTCCCCTCCTGAGCCTGTGTGATTTGTGCGGTAGTGAGAGCGTTTGGCTCCATCCTTCCTTCCTGTAGGAGCAGTTTTACTGCAGTCATTCTGTGTGTGTGACACTAATGTTTATGTATGCTTTTTATTATTATTTCTATTTCTGATTCTTTGGCATTTCAGCTGCTTTTAGGGAGGGAGGGAGGGGTGAAAAACAGCAGTTGGGTTTTAGCAGGAAGTGGTGCTCAGCCCCACATCTGCAGAGGGAATAGCTACAGAATTCGAGCTTTGTAATTTGAGTTTAATTTTTAGTGGTTATGCAAAAGAAAAGGCTGGAGCCATCTCTGCTCCAGATGCTCCACCACTCCCTTGTGTTTCTGCCTCTGGTGCAGCACTGGGATGGTTCTGGGCACACCAAAATTGGTTGCTCCAAGTGACACCCCACCCCAGCCAGAGCTCCTTCAAAACATGGTCACTTTTCCAACCACCTGCACAGACCCTTCTAGGAAGTGTTGGTCCCGTTAGTTCTGTTAAATAACAACATTAATGCATACCATGATGAGCTGCTTGCAGACACCTCAGTGGGAAGTCCTAGGATCCAGTGGTTAGGCAGGACACAGCCTGGGCTGAGAGACTGGGAAACAACCACACATCTCTAAATACCTTTGGAACAGATCCTGCACTTTGGAGACTCTGGCCTGGTTTATTGCTCTGAGACAAATGGGTGGGCCAGAGCCAGGATGTCACCTGCTCTGAGTGAGGGAGGACTTGCAGAGATTCTCCAAAAATAGCCAGGAGAAGGCAGGCAGAGGCAGATGGGGACTGACAGGGTGCTACTGCCTCCTGCTGCTGCATTTCCACAGGGAGGAAGGGACTCGAGCAGCCTGCATTGAATGGGGACTCCATGGAGGAATTAAGCACTTGCCTGGGGTGTGTGTTTGAGCTGTGGAGGTTGTCCCACACCCTCCCTGTGCTCCTGTGTTTGGGAGGGCAGTGTGGGGAGGCTCACTCCTTGTGGGACACAGAACACGTGTGAATCCCCAGTGGCTCTGATCCCCCCACAGCCATGTGCTCTCCTGGGTAATTGCACAAACCAGGCTTTGCTCCCCTGTGGCTTACAAAATGTAGGAGAAATAGAATCTTATTTCTTAGCAAGAGTTGTTTACTGGAGATTCCCATCTAGCCTCAGGCCTCACAGCAGAAGCCTGGTTCCTGTGCAGACATGGAGCTCTGGTACTGCATCTCTGCTGCTTCACGGGCAGCCCCATCTTTTTGGCTGCTGTTTGCCACCCTGAGGGTCCTCTCACCCTGACACGGAGGTGTTTGGAGAGGCAGAGGCTGCTCAGAGTGGTGGGACAGCATTGAAGACAGCCCTGACAGGAGCAGGATCAGCAGGATGTGCCAGACAGGGAGCTGGGCTGTGCTGAGCTGCCACAGAACAGAACCTCTGCAGATAAATGAGGTGATCAATCATTTGAAGAGGGGGATGACAGGCACTGAAGATAGTTCCTCAGCCTTCCCTGCAGGGAAATGGTCCACGGGTTCAAGGTCAGGTTTACTGCAGAGCTTTGCTGAAGTGGAGGGAGAAGAGAACATGATCTTTGATTATTTCTGGTTTCTTCAAAAATTGGGTTAGGCAATTGTGTGTACTCTTTGTTCTTAGCCAGGAAATACCCCCAGAGCCCCCAAACACTGTGTGCTCCAGGCACTGACACTCCACTGCCAAGCTGGCTTGTCCATGCAGGTTCTGCAGAATGCCCTGGCACAGGTGCCCAGAGCAGCTGTGGCTGCCCCTGGATCCCTGCAAGTGCCCAAGGCCAGGCTGGACAGGGCTTGGAGCAACCTGGGATAGTGGAAGATGTCCATGCCCATGGCAGGGGGTGGAACAAGGTGATCTTCAAGGTCTCCTTCAAGCCCAAACCATTCCATGATTCTGTGGCACAGCCAGACTGGTGTGAGTGAGGCTGGACACACCAGGGAGACACAATTGCTTGGAGATGATCACCTCCTTTGTGTTGTGGATATCTTTATGATGGAGAAATTGGTGTCTTAGGTGAAGTCACCTGCCTGGAATTGGTTTTTGCTGTGGGTGGCACCTGGAGGTGTCCCCTTTTCTCCATCCAGTGACAGTAACAGGCTGTCTGGGGGTGGAGGTGCTGCTCCTCCAGCAGTACAGCTCAAGCCTTCTACATGAGAAAACATCAAAAGTTAGGAGGAAAAGGCTGAAGTTACTGTGGTGTATGTGCAGTGCAAGGAAGTGACCTTGGCTGAGATTCTAGAGCTGCTGCTCTCAGGTTTTGGGGACTGGTCCTTTGGGGACCAGGCAAACTCACAGAAACTGAAATCACACAGTTTTTGTGTAGGACAAACTGGGTTCTGGTAGAAACATTTAGTTTTATTGCCATTTACAGCAGCACTTTGGAGAAGCAACTGTGGGATCAACCCATCACTCTGATCTTTATTTAAAAAACCAGATCAAAGGAGAGCAGACCAGAACTCTCCAAATGCAAACTAGATCATTTAGAAACCATGCTGCTGGTCTGCAAAACTTTCCCCTAAAACCAGATACCTCCTCGTGGAGATGAGCATTTGGGGAAGTGGAGAGCTTGAGCTAAGTACTGATACTGAAATGTTAATTAGCTAATTGCTCCTGGGGTTCACCTACACCCCCCACCCACACTGCCATTCTGGGACTGGGGTGCAAAATAGAGGGACCACTGGAATCTTGGGAGGGGGTTTTGGGGATGAAAATACCCCTTAATTGAAGGCTGGGCACAGTGGAGGGGACTGGACGGGTGCTCTGGCTGGGGAAAAGGGAACCACATCCCTGTCTATGTCTGACCTGTCACCATAGCCTCCAGAGGACTGGACTGGACTGGGCTGTGGGAAGCAGGAACAAAGAAGCAGCTCTTCCTGGTGTTAGCAGGAGGAAAAGGAGAGGGGACAGCTGCTGCTGGACTTCAGCAACAGGCTCTGCACATCCCCTCACCCATCCAGGTAGCCACAGGGTGAGCAGGCGTGCAGAGTCTGTCCCTGAAGTCTTCTCAGCACACTGGTAGCGGGAGGGTGAAGAGGTGTGCCGTCTGCAGCTGAAGTTCCAATCAGCAGACCGTCCTCTCTCCTTTCCTTGTGACAACCAGTGTGCCACGAAGACTTTAGGGACAGACTCTGCCCGCCTTCTCCCCCTCCCTTCGGCTACCTGGAAAAGGCTACAACAGCGAGGGCGAGCTCCGTGTCGAGCCCCCTGCCGAGCTGATCTTTTTAATAAAGAGCTGAGCATTAATAAAGGCATAAGCCCTGTTCATTTCACAAACCACCCCCTGCCTGGCAGTGTGCTCACGATGTTTTTGTCTCCTGGCAGAACACAGGGCAGCAGAGAAGCCGCCAGGGACCCGGAGCTGCCCGACGTGTGCGAGGACGAGGCCGCGGCCTGAGGGGCTGAGGCGGGCGGCGCCCTCAGAGCCCTCAGCGCCCTCAGCGCCCTCAGCGGCCTCACCGCCCTCACCGCCCTCAGCGCCCTCATCTCCCTCACCGCCCTCAGCGCCCAGCACGGCCGCACAGAGCCAGCCGGAGCCCAGCACCCCAGCACGATGGCAGGCAGCCACACGAGCAGCCACACGAGCCGGCAGGAGGGTGGGAGCAGCTCCAGCAGCCCCGTGAGCCCCCCAGCAGCTCCTCCGTGCGCGCCTCACGCTGCACCCGAGCAACGCGGCCGTGTTCCTCTCAAAGGTCATCTCCCCCCCAGAGACTTTCTCCTTGTGTTGTTGCATTCTCTACTTCAAGCATCAGGGGGAAAAAAATGATGGGTTTTATATGGGAGGGCAACTTTTATTTAATGCACTTGTGTACATCAGGAGTCCTGCTCCTGGCGTGGAGATGAAGGCAAAATGGATATCAGCTAAATGAGGAGGAGATCCCGCTGTTGGATGAACATCGTCCCTCCCTGTGTTTGTGTTTCTCTTTCTTCTCTTTTCCTCCGATCCCTCAGTTTTGCACAGTGTCAGTCCTGCCCCCAGCCTGGCTTTAGGGCAGAGCTGTAAAGCAGAGGAGTTACAGGAGATTCCCTGGCTGTGCAGTGAGCCCTGGAATGTCACAGAGCCCTGGAGCATGGGGATATGCTGCTACACACAACAGCTCAGTGCTCCAGGCACATCTGCCAGGGCTGGGAATGCACCCAGCAGCTGCACCCCATCCTGCACCCATGGACCATGTTCCCCAGCTGAAGAGTGGCAGGTTTGGGCTTTGTTTTATTTCATTTCCTTCTCTTCATTTATCTCTTGTGTACCTGATGCTTTTAAACTTTAATTTCGTGAAAATGACCCAAACTGGGAGAGGTTCCTAGGATGGAAAATGTTGGTGGAGGGTTTTTAGAAAGCTACAGAGCACAAGTTCACAACTTGATCTTTTGATTTTTTTTTTAAAAAAAGGCTTTAACTTTTAATTTTAAGACTGTTTTTTATGCATGTGCTGTTGCTGCTATTTTTTCCATTGATTGCTTCTAAACTTGGGGTTAGAAGCTTCATCTCAATAGTTTGACAACTGGTAAGAGATTGCACTTAAAAAGGTAAATACAAAAAAGCAACTACAGCCATTTTTTTGGCTGTTGACTGTACAGACTGTGTGGATAATCAGGAATGTCACTCTTCCATTCAGAGAGTAAAACCCAGTGATATTCATCTGTCAAAATATATGTCATTATTTTCCCTTGAGCCTTATGGGGTCTCTGAGCATGCCCCTGGGAAGCCAGTGGGATTGGAATCTTATTTTATAGCACTTCAAGAAAGGACATGATTAAATTTGGTTCCTACATAATCATCTTAGTGTCTGTTTTTAGGTCAATCCTGAGGACTTGGGACTTTGTTCCCTCGTTTTTTGTGCAGGAAGACACATGTACAAGGGTTGTTGGTAGTGACTGGTGCATCCTGGTGCTCCTGTTCTGTTTGCTGCAACCTCATTTGATGGTTCTGAACATTTTATAGCTGGGCTTTGCTGCTGGTGCCTTCTGTCTGTCCCCAGCCTGTCACCTGCCCTCACTCATCCTCAGCCACCTCAGTGGGATGCATCTCACCTGTAAATACTGGACAAAATGGAAAATAACATTGCAGCTTCTCTATTGAATGGAGACCTTTAATGCTGACAGCTGGTGTTGGATCCTGTAAAGGTTGCTGCTGTGGAGCTGAGCTCTGCACTGCTGCTTCCAGGTGCTAAATCCTGCCTGTTTTTTGGTGTCTTCTTCAGCTGTGAGCTCAGCATCCTCTGAGCACCAGCAGGATGCTCTGACCCTTCCCCCAGCCTGGGACATGGGACTTTCTGCTTGGATCCTGCTGCTTTGTAATGAAGATTTAGGTGCCCAGAGGTAGGGAGTGAAAAGTCTGAGAGCACAGGGGATTCTGCAAATGGGAAAGATTGTCCAGGTGGAACTGCTGCCTGTGGAAGGAACAGTCTGTGGATACAAACTGATCTGTGCTGTGGTGCCACCTGCTCCTGCTGCAAACCAGGGGCCAAGATGGGAAAACTAACCTCCAGTTTGTGGAAAAAACTTTCTCCAACTGGTGTCCCCAGGACAGAGGCAGGGAGTGACATTGGAGCAAAGACACATCTCAGGAACGTGCCCCACCCCAGGCAGAAAAGGGAGTTCTTGTAATCCTCATCACTTCTGAAGTCTAAGCAGTACCTGGGTTGTGCTCAAAGAGCTCTAAGAATGCAAACATGGGGTTAGTTACTGTGTTTTTAATCTGTGGCAAGAATAATTTGCTAACCCAGGCAGCTGGAGTTATTTTAGTGATGCCCAAGGGATTGGGAGCTGGTGGGGAAGGCTGCAGGAAAGCTGTTCTCAGCCTCAATTAATGCAACCAAACAAATGATGAGTTACAAATGAGCTCCATATCCTGTTCCTTTAATGGTACCTAAATTCATCACTTCAGTTTTGGAGAGGAATGGGTGTTTTTTATGATTATCTCAAAATCTACTTAGAAATATTTGTCCTTTCAGCTACAAGAAATCCTTCTGGAGCTGTTCCCACAGGTGTAAGAACCAAGCCCTCGAGATCTGAGCTGATGTCACACCTTGTTTCTTCAGCAAATCTGCCAACAGGCTTTCCCTTCTAGCCCGGAGATCACCCCTATTGTGTCACAAACAGCAGCCTGAAAACCTGCATGAAATGAGATGAAAAATGTGCCCTGGCAGCAGGAGAAATGCTCAGATAGGCAAAGCCAGGCTCTACTCACTCAGCTGCAATGAAATTCTTGCTTCTTTATGTGCATGTTAGAGCAGCTCAGGGCAACTGGTTCTGCTCTGAAGAAAGGAAGAGACTGAAGAGAGGGGATTTATTTGAGAATAAACATCCCAGGCAAAGCAGTGCTTTTAGCTCTTGAGTAAAATCATTCTCTTTAGCTGGATGGGTAAATATTTGTCTGCTCCTCTCTGTGATGGAGGAGATGGGGTTCAGTGTGGACTCTGCAGAGCAGGTGTGGCACATTCGTGCTTTGGTGTGTGCTCTGTGTTTTTCCCCTCCAAATCCTCCTCTCTGCTGTTCATGGAGCACTGGGATGCTCTGGCCTGGGTTAGCTGGGCTTGGAGTCACCAGGAGGGCTCCTCTTTCCCCATCACCATTGCATCTGGTCAAGCTTTCCAGACTCTTCCAGGCTGAGGATGATTTTCTTGAAAGAAATTTCTCATCTGGGGGAACAGCATATCTCTTTGATCTCCAGGAGGTGGATTTATCTTGTTCAATAAATGGCTCTAGGCCTTTGGTTTTGGGGAGTAGTGCCAAGTAAAAATCCTGGTCAAGTCTCTTCTGTGCTGCACTGAGGAATGCCCAGTCCGTGTCTTTAACCCTTTGGGCGGGAATGTGCTGCTGTCCATGTCCCAGCTGCAAGCAGATGAGGTTTCCAGCATCAGGGAAAGCTGACTCTGTGTAGGGCTCCAACCAGAGGGAGCCTGACAAGGGACAGGGTAGCTGCTCCATGCAAAACAAACAGTGGCTCCAGAAAACAGCTCCCAGGGTGCAATTTCATTCCTGATTTATTGCCAGACTTGCAAGGAGGAGCTGCTGGGAGAAATTTCATGTTCCCTCAGCACAACTCTGTCCTGAAGCCTTCGGCAGCGCTGCCATGGGGGAATTTCTCCAGTTGTGCTGTGTGGCTGGGAGCTCGTTTGCCTTCCCCAGCTCAGTGCTTTCCCTCCCACCTTGCCCAAAACCCCATGAGCTTTGTCCCACCAGCCCAAGGCTTTGTCCCAGCCCCTGAGAGGCCCAGGCTCCCCAGGGACAGGGATCTCTGTGAGTTTTCCAAGGCTGGAGGGCTGTGCTGGGGGATGCCACTGAGAGAGAGCCCAAGCACCTCTGCTGTGCAGCAGGGAGACTGGACAGCAGAGAGTGGAGGGTTTGTGTGGAAATACAGCTTGGATGAGGTGCCAAAGGTTGGTAGTGGAGTTTGCTGAGCAGAGCGGTGCAAGGCATTCCTTTCTAGCCCAGATCCTTCTACACACGTCCATGCTCGGCTCGAGTCCCCCCCAGGCTGAATTAACCTGCATTATGCCATGACCCTGTTGCTGGGAATGCAGCCTCCCATGGGATGAGGGAAGGAAAGCAGCTCATCACTCACTGCCCTGCTCCTTCCCTTCCTGGAGAAAAGCCATGTACACTCCGAGCTGCTGCTGGCAGAGCCCAGACCCTCCCTCAGTATCCACAAGCCATCCAAGTGCTCCCAAAAAATGGTGTAAATTCAAGAAAACATGAATTGCAACTCCTGAGGGTACAATGCAGATTCTCTGTGCTGTAATTTTGCTGCTCTTTCTGATTTCTAGGCCTGTTCTGTTGGTATTTCTGTCTCTTGTTGCACTTGAAGTTGAACCTCTGCCCCTGTATGTGCTCTGCTATGATTCCAGCATGATGTAAATGCACTCAGTACTGTGACAGCACGTGGCTGTTGCACTGTAAATATGTACCATGAAGAGAGAGGCTATTTTTTGCATGCTTTTGTACTGTAAAACTGATGAGAAAATGATAATAAATTCCACAGAGATGACCCTGGCTGGAAGTGCAGTTCCTAAGGCAGCTGCCAGGCGCAGCCCCGAGTGCTGCCCTAAGGCCAGCCCCGTTCTGGGACTAAGGCCAGGGGCAGCCCCAGTCACAGTCCTGAGCCTGAGCCCGGCTCAAAGCTCAACACTCCTTTAGCCCTAAGGCCAGGGCTGGCTCTAAACCCGGCTCAAGGCTCCCTTTAGCCCTAAGGCCAGGGCCGGCTCTAAGCCCAGCTCAAAGCTCAAGGCTCCCTTAGCTCTAAGGCCAGGGCTGGCTCTAAGCCCGGTTCAAAGCTCAAGGCTCCTCAGCCCTAAGCCCGGCTCAAAGCTCAAGGCTCCTTAGCCCTAAGCCCAGCTCAAAGCTCAAGGCTCCTTAGCCCTAAGCCCGGCTCAAAGCTCCCTTAGCCCTAAGCCCAGCTCAAAGCTCAAGGCTCCCTTAGCTCTAAGGCCAGGGCTGGCTCTAAGCCCGGTTCAAAGCTCAAGGCTCCTCAGCCCTAAGCCCGGCTCAAAGCTCAAGGCTCCTTAGCCCTAAGCCCAGCTCAAAGCTCAAGGCTCCTTAGCCTTAAGCCCGGCTCAAAGCTCCCTTAGCCCTAAGCCCAGCTCAAAGCTCAAGGCTCCTTAGCCCTAAGCCCGGCTCAAAGCTCAAGGCTCCTTAGCCCTAAGCCCGGCTCAAAGCTCAAGGCTCCTCAGCCCTAAGCCCAGCTCAAAGCTCAAGGCTCCCTTAGCCCTAAGCCCAGCTCAAAGCTCAAGGCTCCCTAAGCCCGGCTCAGCCCCGATCGCCGCCCAAAGCCCGGCCGGCTCTTGCCCCGCCCCCGCGCTGGAGCCACGCCCATTGCCCGCCCGTCACAGAGCGCTCCGCCTCCCGGCCAATCAGATCGCTCCGTCACGCCCGGGCCCCGCCCATCACAGGGCCCTCTGGCTGTCGACCAATCACGTCAGCCGCTGGCGTCGCGACCCCGCCTCCTGCGTCTCCGGATCGTCACAAAGGCCGCCACTATTTGCTGCGGCCCCCATTGTGTCGTTACTGAGCTCCTATTGGCTGTGGGTGAGGGGGCGGGGCTTCAGCCGGGATATAAAGCGCCTCAGGCCAGCTCCCCTCAGTGCGAGCTCGGCGGCCGCGGGGCTGCAGCTCCGCTGGGCCGGGCGGTGCGGGCCGCAGCAGCCACGCCGCAGCCTCAGGGCCGGCTGTGCCTCGCAGGGCTGCGGGGGCTGTGCGCCGTGTTCGGCAGGGAGGCGGGAGCGCCCTTTCTGGCCGCCCGCGGCCCCCCGCGCCGGCCCCGCCGTCTCCCTCGCCCCCAAACCAGAGAGGCACAAAGTGCCGGCCCCCCCAGAGCGAAGAGAGGCACAGAGAATGCCGGCCCCCGCATATCGAAGAAGAACCGAGAGCGCTCCCGGCCGGCCCAAGGCAAGTAGGCAGAACGGCCGGGGGCTGCGAGGGCGGCGACAGCCGCGGGCCCGTCCGAATCGGCGGAGGACAGAGAGAATGCCCGCTCCGGCCCCCCAGAGGGGCAGGCAAAGGAGCCAGCACTCCCTGAATCGAGGGGGGACAGAGAGCCCGCGCCGGCCCTTCCAAGCGGAGAGGAGACAGCAGCTGCCCCCTGTCCCCCTGAGTCAGAGGGGCTCTGACATGATGCCAGCTCTCCCCATATCGGAGGGCGACAGGTGCAGAGGGCTCCCCCAAAAGCGGATGGGGACCGAGGTCACCGCCAGCCTTGCAAAAGTAAGGAGGCTCCAGGAGCCCCCCATCATCCTGCAGGGTGAGAGGGACAGGGACACGTCCCTCCCAAGCATCCCGCAGGGCGAGAGAGATGGAGACCTCTCGAGCAGCTCCCCCCTTTTCCCCGCTCCCGCGGACGAAACAAAATAAAATTGGCAGAAATCCCACTTCACAGCACACCGAAGGCTTTGACTGATACATGTTTTCCCAACGAGTCACTTGTGAAGAAAATTGAAAAAGCAAAAGCCAGGCCCGACCCCTCGGCTTGACAGACTGGTCAACGTGTCCAGTCTGGTCCTTGTTTGCTAACGAAACCTCTTGGGAAAAGGGTTAATCAGAGTGTTCCAAAATTCAGCCTTTGTCAAGCTTTCGGTGCCGTTCCTCCAGACAGATTAATCTGCCCTATGGGGAACCAGGGAAACTTTGTCCACTCTCCCCTTTCAGGTGGCTCGGGAGTCTCCATCCTCCTGCCCTTTTGGGGAAGGGTCGAAGGGGGTCTGTTATTGTAAATGTAATATCCTGTAATAGTATGTGTTTTTCCTTAACTTTGGCCACAGCATCCTTGGAGCTGGCAGCTCCAGGACACTTGCCTCTGGGAACATCTTCTAGCAGAGGGCTGAGCTCTCTTTATTTCCAGGTATTTCCTGGCCATCTCCATCCTCAGGGATGAGCAGCTTCTGCAGACAGCCTTTTTAATTTTTTCTTTTTTTATTTACTTTTATTTCTTTTCTCGTATTTCTCCATAAATACCTCAAAGAAATTATCCTTCATTGCTTCTGTACAATGCTTAGGATCTGATCTCTCCCCGTGAGGATGGGGAGGCCCTGGCACTGGTGTCCCAGAGCAGCTGTGGCTGCCCCATCCCTGTCCAAGGCCAGGTTGGATGGGGCTTGGAGCATCCTGGGATTGTGGAAGCTGTCCCTGGCAGGGGGTAAAATTAGATGAGCTTAAAATCCCTCCCAACCCAAACCATTCTGGGACTCTGTGTTCTGCTCAAACATACAATGGGCCCCAATAGCTGCCAATGCCAAACCTACCTGTTAATTGATGAATAAATAAATTCCTGGCAACCACCACCACAAATGGAAGGAAAACAGCTCCATAGGAAGGACCAGCAGAGGCTGAGGCTGGAAACAGGGACATCAAGGTTCCTTACAGCACAAGCACTCTTCCTGGATTGATGCCGTTGCCCACCCCAGGTGGATTCATACCCCGGCATTTTCTCAGGGAGTAAATTAAATACTGAGAGCAGGTAATTGCTGGTTCCCTGGGAACGCAGTGTCCTGGTGAGGTCATGTCACTGCCACCATGGCACATCCAGCCCTGACATGGTCAGTGACATGTCCCAGGCCACTGAATCCCCCTGGAGCTCATGGTCATTTAGGATCATGCTGGGGACTCAATTTGGGGTTGGATCCAACCAGGTAAATGGCTTGAAAGCTACTCCCCCTAATTTTCTTGTAAGTGGGCTGTGTATCAAAATGGATTTCTAGAGCAGTAAATTATAATTTTGTGCTTATTATAATATTCATTAAGAGCCGCTGTCTGCTGTAGTGTTACACCAAATACTAATTATTAGAAATTAAGGTGACAGGAGGGAATAGTATTCTGAATTGTGTAAGTGGGAGTAATAAGAGCCTAGGAAGGATAAGCAGACAAAGCAGCAGGAGAATTCCCTTTCTATAGGGAAATTGGGAATGGAATCCCTAGGGGTAATGGAATCCCCAGGAGCCCAGCACTGGGAGGCAGGGCTGCCCAGGAAGGGGCTGTGGGCGGGGGACAAAATTAATCAGAGCTACAAAGACACCAAGCAGAGGGTTCAAAGTGTTCAGTTTTGGGGCACCACCGTCTGGCAGGATCCATCCAGGGGATTGACCTCCAAAGGCTCCATTTTGCCTCAATGTTATTTTTCTAGTTTTTTCCTTGGTTTGTTTATTTTTTTTTATTCCTCTTCAAGCTGAAATTAAATTCCTGCAATGATTTTGTCCCAACCTAGTCTAGTCTCTGCTCATGGCAGGGAATAGACAATCTTTAAGGTCCCTTCCAACCCAAACCCAACTGCAGCAGGGGTGAGACGGATGCAGAGCAGGATGAACAGTCAGGGAAGCAGCCAAAGCCATGCAGAGCTGTGTGAGTGACATAGTTTTTCCAGTCCCCAGCAAAGGAGAATCATAAACTTCATCCTTTATTGGTGTCCATGCTGCTCCACACCAGGCACAGCTGTGTCCAAGGCCTCCCTCCAGCAGAACCTTTAAAAATTATATTCCCTCTCCCCCGTGGTTTAATTAGGGGGAAAAAAGAATCTCATATGTGGAAGTGATTCTTTTGTTGACAGACATTTTCAGGTTTTCCATTTGCTTCTCCTTGAGTAGGAAAAAGTCATTTACCATGTTCTTTTCTAACAGTTTCCAGGGATGTCCCACGAACACGGCCAGGAGCCACCAGTAGCCAAGCCCTGACCGAGTTTCTTTGCTTGAGTAAATCAATGTTTAGCCACTAATGGGAGCTGAATGCCCATTTTCCGTGCCCCATTTGTTTTATTGCCAGGGCTGGGGTGCAGGGGGGGCATCATGGGGCAGCTCTCTGGAAATCCCAGTGAGCACTCAGAATGTTCACTCCCATCCCATTTTATGGTGTGTGATGTGCAAACACATTAGGGAACAACCTCTGCACTCACCAGCTGGAATAACTCACAGTACCTGTCTCTCTGTCCATCTCTATTATTTTTTATTTGGAGTTTCCACAGGGTTGTTTTAAGCATGGGGGTTGCTCTTGCTCAGTTTGTGCCAGCCAAAATCCCTTTGGAAGAATTTTTTTTGCCACAGAAGGGTGTTTTTCATTTTCAGAATGAAAAGGTATCTTTTTCCCTGCCCTGTTGGTCCCTTCAGCCTTGCTGTGGGATGTGGGCAGGGATGGGAGCCCTGAGCCACCACGGGACAGCAAAGGCAGGAGCTGACCCACCACCGGCTGGAGGTGAAGTGATTAAAGCTTGTGGCTGCCACCAGCATTTCCTGCCTGTAATTAATGCTTTTAATGAGGAGGCATATGGTAACCCCCTCCTCCCCGGCATTTTGCCAGGTGTGGGTTCATTAACAGCTGCTAATTACACCATAGTGTGGGTTCATTAACGGCTGCTAATTACACCATTATTCAGCATGTAAGTCAAGGAGGGCTACACCACTCCAACTGTCTGTGAATTCTGCCAAAAATTTCTTAGTTTAAATTTTCTGTTTTCTCCTTATACAGGGAACTGGAGCCCTGGGGGTTTGCAGGGCAAACCCTGGGACACAGAGCCAGCGCCTTCCCTGTTTTACCTGACCCCTCTCCATGCACAGGACCTGCAAATCCAGCTGCACTCCTCCTCCTCACAGCCAGAACGTGCTTTTATTCCCAGGGGTGAGTTTTGTTGGAAGTCTGATAGTCCCAGGAACTGTAGAGGGGCTTGAAGCCATTCTCTCTCTGATGGAACATCCAGCTGCCAGGACATCCTCAGCCCCATGGATCCTCAGGGCTACCTCTGTGTGTCCCAGAGCAGGAGGGCATTATCCTGGCAGGAAAACCGGTGGCTTTGTTCCCCTCAGACCTCAGCTCTGCTGCTGGGGTGTTCATTGCACCAAGTGCTTGATATCAAGGCTCTTTCTCCTGAAATAGGCTCTTGGAAATGTTTTACCAACAGCTGGTTACAGTTTTTACATTGAGTATTATGAGGTGCCTCACTCCCAGCCTGGGGCTCTGAATATTCCAGCTCCATGCAAGTATTGGGAGAAAATGAGCATTAAAATCATTCATCTGGAAGTTCTCCCCTGTGGTGAGCACATTTCTCTTCCTCTCAGGATTTTTCATAGAGGTGCACAGAGAGAAACGGAAGAGAAAACAATTTCTATTTCTGCTCCTTGTTTTTCCTATGTGGAATGTGTTTGGATAATTGTTTACCTGGGGGTGAGTGCTTGGTTGGATTCTGGTGAGGATTGTTTGAGCCTGATGGCCAATCCAACCCACCTGGGGCTGGACTGGAGAGAGAGAGTCACGAGTTGTGTTAGAGTTAGAGAAAGTAGTATGTAGTTTTAGTATCCTCCTTTTTACAGCATATTAATACATACTTGTATTAATATATTAATTTTAGCATAGTTATAATAAAGGAATCATTCAGCCTTCTGAATTGAGCCAGACATCCTCATTTCTTCCCACTGGGTTCGCCTGCATTAACAATACTGCCCCTCCTTTCCAAGCCAGTTCCAGGTCCTGCTCCTGCATTAGCCTGGTACTGCCCTACTCACCAAGCCACTGGATCCTGTGAGAATGGGAATAATTCCTTTCTGAAGGAAAATACAGTGTTGGGGTGTACAAACTCAGCAGGGTGCAGCTTTCTACCAGTCCGTGTGTGGTCACTCTGGGCACGGAACACCCAGGAAAAGTGTCTCCTGTTTACAGAGAATGAACAACTGATTCACCTGAGGAAACACGGTAATTTTTGATGTCTAGGAAAGTTACACTGAGATGGAAAAACAGACCAACCTCCCGTGGAGCAGATCCCTGGGCCGGGCTGCTGCTGCCCTCTGCTGCCAAGAGACACTTTTCACTCTTCTCATTTCAGACAAATAATTCCAAACTGTTTTCAATACACTTTTTTATTGAAATAACCTCTATGCTAGTAAAGTAGAATTAATATTGATATTTAATGATAGGACTAAACAGGAGATTAAAAAACTGATGTGGAAAGATGCACAGACTGTCAGGGATTTTGAATTAAGCACAGAGATAATTAAGTTTAATTCAGACACAACAGCTTATCAATACTCAACATTTTCACTTGAAAATCTGATTAAATGTTAATAAAAGAAACTTTGTTTAGTAGAAAAGGGACACTGAGCAACCAAAAAACCCCAAACAAATATATATATAAAGCAACATAAGGTGAAGTAGGACAAAGTGATGGAATTACTCATTTCCTCCAGTGGCTTCTGTTCTGGGCCAACAGAAACACAAGCACAGGCAGAGCGGTGAAGAACCCTCAGATTCCAGAAACTGAGCTGAAATTTGGTTTGATGCCAATAGATCTCATCAGAACCTTGTAGACAGCATCAGTGTCATCCTTCTCCCTGAATTTCACACTGAAAGGCACCCAGGCAGCTCCCTGGCCACCGGCAAAGTCCCCGGGGCCTCACTGACCTCAGGCTGGAAACCACCTACACATTCCTACAAGTCTTACATTGTGTCCAAAGATAACATTCAGTGTTTTCAATCGCGTTACCCGACCCAAAACTTAGGAAGTTAACAATCCGAGTTACATTTTACAGGCTTTCTCCCCTTCCTGCCTTAGGGAGGTGCAAACTGGCACAGTTCAACAGCTTTTAGACCAAATCCTGGCAGGATGAGCAGACTAAGGGGAAGATAAGACCCTGTTATTTTAAGCAAGCTGTGTCTATGGCATCTGTCACCTTCTCCGAATTTCCATTACATTAACTGATCATCCTGCTTCATTTTTTTGCTCTTCTCCTCAACGTCTTTCAGCACCTCCTGCAATTTCTTAGAGCTCTGTGTCAGGAGGGCAAGGCTTTCCTTGAAGTTGCCGATCCCGTGCTGCCTACAGATGTTCTCAAGCTCATCAAAGCACTGCAAAGTCTTCTCCAGCTCGGCCTTGACAATCTTCTGCTCCTCCAGCTCGGCCAGCAGCGCCTGCTCCGTGGCCACCTCTGCCCTGTACTGCTCCTGCAGCTGCCGCACCTCCTCCTGCAGCGCCCGGAATTCCTCCTCGCTGCAGCGATACTGCTCCTGCACCCTGTCCTCGGGCAGCAGCACGTTCTTAGGGATGTTCAGCACCAGCTGCAGCAGCATTTCTTCCATTTTAGTGAACAGTTTATCGAAGTGCTCCTTCATGAAGAGCAGGAATTTCTCGGTGCATTTCCGGATCTGGGAAGGGTTGATTTTGCCGTCGAGCTTCTTCAGCATCACGCCCTCCACCACCTGCAGCACTTCGAAGAGGTAGTCCTGGAAGGCGATGTAGATGCGCAGCATGCACGTCTGCGGCGTGAACCCGAAGAACTGCGCCTCGTAGGCCATGGGATCCACCGACATGGCGGTGGGGGGCCGGGGCGGGAGGGCCGTGAGGGGGAGACGGGTCTCGCCGGGCTCCCCGGCGTTACCCGAGGCGGCGGGGCCGCTGCTGCCGCTGCTCTCACCGCTGCTCATGCCGCCACTGCCGCTGCTCTCGCCGCTCCCGTTCCCGGCCCGAGGACGGTTCCGAGGCCCGGCGGTGCCGCCGCTCCCGTTCCCGGCCCGAGGACGGTTCCGAGGCCCGGCGGTGCCGCCGCTCCCGTTCCCGGCCCGAGGACGGTTCCGAGGCCCGGCGCTGCCGCCGCTCCCGTTCCCGGCCCGAGGACGGTTCCGAGGCCCGGCGGTGCCGCCGCTCCCGTTCCCGGCCCGAGGACGGTTCCGAGGCCCGGCGCTGCCGCCGCTCCCGTTCCCGGCCCGAGGGCGGTTCCGAGGCCCGGCGGTGCCGCCGCTCCCGTTCCGAGGACGGTTCCGAGGCCCGGCGGTGCCGCCGCTCCCGTTCCCGGCCCGAGGACGGTTCCGAGGCCCGGCGCTGCCGCCGCGCTTTTCCCGCCTCGCTCGAGCTCCGCCTCAGGGCCGCCCCGCCCGCAGCCAATCAGCGCCCGCCAGGCCACGCGCCTGCCCAATCACCGAGCGCTCCGTCCCTCCCGCCCGCTGGCCTCTCGGCCAATGACAGCGAGAGGTGGTGGGCTGGCACTGCAGGGCGACTAATAGGAGCGCGGAGCGGCGGCCGCCCCCTGGGTAGTCGACCAATGAGAGCGCAGAGCGGAGGGAGGGCGGTGCGTTTCAGCCAATGGGAGCGCGGAGCGCGGGGCGGGGCCGGGCCGCCAAGATGGCGTACCAGACGTTCCGGCAGGAGTACCTGCAGGTGCCGCCCGTGACCCGGGCCTACACCACGGCCTGCGTGCTCACCACCGCCGCCGTGGTCAGTGCGGGCCGCGGGAGGGAGCCGCGCCGGGAACGGGAGCGGGGTGGGCGCGGGGCCGCCGTGGAAGGGGAGCCCTGAGGCACCGCCCCCGCTCGGAGCTCGGTGAGGGGCCCGAGGAGCCCTGAGGGAGGGAACAGCCCCGGGAAGCTGCAAAGCACGAATCGGTAACAGCAGCGCCACAGGGCTGTTGTATTGAGGCTCCCACTTGCCACAAAACTCTCAGTGCTGATTGAGGGCTTGCTGGGCTCTTTTTGACACTCAGGAGTGGGTTGCTGTTTTGGATGTGTGTTTTTTCTTCTTACTTTTTTTTATTATTATTTCTTGTACTGATCCTTTCAAAATGATCTCTTCTTTTTCAGCAATTAGAACTTATCACGCCCTTCCAGCTGTATTTCAACCCTGAGTTAATATTTAAGCACTTTCAAGTAAGTGTGTTCTGAAGCACGGGAGGTTTTAAAATGTGCTGTAGAGGTTTTTTAAGTGCTTGTCTTCTCAAAACAGTTTACTTTTTGTATTAGAAATTAACTTTTTGAAAGCTACTCTAGCCAGAGTGCAGACCACTATGCCTTAAAATAGGTTTTAGTTTCATTTTTCTGTAAAGGAGATTTCTGTTTTGTTGTTACTTGCTTATCTATTTAGACAATAAAAATAAGCTGTCATGTTTAAAGTCCTTGTATTTGTCTTATTTCCAGATATGGAGGTTAATCACAAACTACTTGTTCTTTGGACCAGTTGGCTTTAATTTTTTATTTAACATGATCTTTTTGTATCCTTCACCAAGTTGTGTTGGTTCCCTTGGCAAGCAGAGCTCCAGTGTGCAGGAATGTTGCACACAGGAAAGGTTGAATTCCTGGGAATTCAGCAATGCCAGCTTCACTGGTATCAAGGGGGGCAAGAATTTTGCCAGTTACTTTTTTGGTGTTAAGAATTTGTACAAGCCTGATCCTTCAGGGTGGGGCTGACCTGGAGCAGCAGAAAATTCCAGGTAACTTATTTTGTCTCTCGGGTCACCCTATCTGCTGAAGTATCCAGAAAGAGCCAAGTGATGCTGTAAATGGATAAAACACCTTGAAGGTGATGTAGAATTGAATAATTTTCTGCTTGGATCTGTCTCTAAACTCACTTGCAATGGAGTTTTCCTGACCTGTGGCCTCAGATACCGCTACTGCCGCATGCTCGAGGAAGGCTCTTTCCGGGGTCGGACGGCAGATTTTGTATTTATGTTCCTTTTTGGAGGACTTTTAATGACTGTATCCTTTCTGTTGTAATTCCAAGCTCCTTTAGTAAAGCTAGAAATGTGAAGGAGAACTGAAACCACATTGTTACTGTAACCTTAATATAGTTTGTTGCACAAGGAGTACGGATATTTGTTAGGGTGGTTTTGAATATTTTGGGATTGTTGCTGGTTTTTCAGGGTTTTTTTCCTGCTTGATGAGGTTATCAGGGGACTGTTCAGGTGTGGGATTATGCTCAGGTTGTCTTGTGAAGAATTAAATTCTGCTTTAATGAGATAATCAGTGCTGCAGGTACCCCAAATCCCGCTGCAGCGTTGGATTTGATGGGCGGTAGTTCGATGTACTCGCACCAGGGAAAGCAGATTTACCAGCTGTGTGGAAAACACAGGATTAGGAATTAAGCTGTGAAATTCCTGACCTCACAAATGTTTCCTTAATGAGCCATGGCAGCTTTTTGGGCTGTTTGTGAACCTGGTGTTCCTGGGGCAGGCGTTCACCATCATGCTGGTGTACGTCTGGAGCCGCAGGAATCCCTACGTCCGCATGAACTTCTTCGGTCTCCTCATCTTCCAAGCCCCATTCCTGCCCTGGGTCTTGATGGGCTTTTCTCTGCTTTTGGGGAACTCCATCATTGTGGATCTCCTGGGTGAGTAATGGCAGCAATCACGAGGATCTGTTCCTCTCATGTTTTACGTGAAACAGAAAATGGGGACAAATCCAAGGGCTGAATGCCCTAATGCTTGGTGTTAGTTCTTCTGATATATTTATTATTTTATATTTATATTTTTAGGCTTTTCTGATTTCTAACCATTGTAGCATGTTTTGTGCTGTGATAAGAATGGAAAGAGCTTTTGGTGTTTTGGCTTTTTATTGCTTGGAATCAGCCCTGATGCGTCATCTGACTGAAATAGCATCAGTCTACTGAAATAAAATAGCTTATATTACTATTTTATCAATTCTAACAGAGCCAAAACATCAGTACTTTTAATAACAAGACCTTCCCTCAATATTAACATCTTGTAGTATAAGTTAAACTCTTTACCTGCTGTTAGCTTTCTTCCTTAGGTTTTGTATTTCTGTGTCATCATATATTCTGTGAAAGAACCAATGTATGTTGTTTTTCTGAAAACTCTAGTGTAAAGCATTTGAGAGTTGTAAAGGAGACCTAGTGAAAAATCACCTTTTGGCTTTTCTTTCTATACCAGGCATTGCTGTTGGGCATATATATTTTTTCTTAGAGGATGTGTTTCCCAATCAGCCCGGTGGTGGGAGGCTCCTGAGAACGCCGTCTGTCCTGTGAGTATTGGTGTCTGCTTTGGAAGAGACGTGGAAAAAATGCTTGTTTGGAAAACTGTTTGCAATTCAGTCACGTCAGCTTCTGGTGAATTGGACAGAGATAGAATTGGGGGGTGTCTGTTCTTGCTTTTTATTGAACTTGCATTGCCAAATGAGGAGCTGGAATTTGTTTAAGTGGGAAGCAATTTAACTGGGAGAAGAGCTAAAGGATTTTGTCTTTGGTTTCTCTGATAACACTTGTCAGGCTTTGCTGACAGCTTTTTTTGGTGGCACCAAAGCTGTGTCCCCTGATGAGTGTGAACAGTGGCTGAGGCACTACAAATAAGATATTTAACGGGTTTTTTCTTCTGTAAGTCATCCTTATGTCACAATTTTGGAAAAAAACAAAATCCTTCAGTGTTTTTAGTATTGAGCAATGGTGCTCCCACTCAGTTCCCTCTTGTGTGGATGCTCTAATCCCCTGTGGTCCTCTCCCACAACACCTCTGATGGTTGTTTCTCATAGAATCATAAGACTGAAGATGTCTGGCATAGAATATTTATCCATAAATATCAGAGGATGAACCTCAACAGTCTTGATTTGGGATCTCCTTCCTGGTGCTCCAAAGTGGAGAGCATAAATCCCAGTGCCTGGGCAAGCAGTTCCTGAGGGAGGACAGTGTGCAGCACGTGGGCTCTGAAGGCTGTGTGTCAGGGGTGCCTGTGCTTTGTGTTTTGCAGGAAAGCAATATTTGACACGCCGGAGGATGACCCCAATTACAACCCCTTGCCAGAGGAGCGGCCGGGGGGCTTTGCCTGGGGAGAGGGGCAGCGCCTCGGGGGATAATCAGAGCCCGTGCCTGGCCCAGCCACCCCGGAGAGACCAGCCTGGCTCCAGCCCCACGCCCACTGTCCTGGCCCAGCACACACAGGGCTCTCACAGCTCTATGGTTTGCAACACAAGCACTTTATGAAACGGCAGTCTCACCCGAGGCACTCCCAGCACCCTTCCCAGGCAGGGTATTCATTGTGCTGGACATCACCTAAATCCAGTGGAGCCAAAAATTTAAAACTGGAAACTGTTTCCTGTTAACCTTGGTTAACAAGGCCACGCAAGTACTTGTTTAAAGTGATTTCTAAAGCATTTTTTTCAAGTTATTTGATACATGAAAACTCTATGGGAAACTTTACAGGGGACAAACCCAACTTTTTGGGTTTTAACTGATTTTTTTATTCTTGGATAAAACAACTGCAAGATGATTGAAAGGCTAAGTCGCTATTTCAATGGCAAAAGGTTTTTTAATCTGAGGTGCTGCTGTCTCCAGTCATCTGTGAACTGCAGGGAACACAACACACAGCTTTTCACTCTGCCAGTTGGATTTTTGAAATGTTCTGCAGGCCAAGGCTACTTTTGGTGGGGTTTTTTCCCCCCAAGATCTGTGTGTTCAGGTGCCCATTTTTCAGACTGGTGGTTAATTAAATCGGTGTGCCTGCAAAATCCACCCCCGTGTGCCCTCTGCTGTTACTGGATGACCTGCAGCACTAGAGAAGGAAACTTACCTGGAGTCAGGACTCAAAAATTATGATGAGTTGAATAAAATGTCTTGTGGATCCTTTTTGGTTAATCCTTTGTATCATCCTGTAGTCTTGAGGCAGCAGGTGGAGAAGCAGGGGCTGGAAAAAGCAAGTCCTTGAAGAGACAGATAAAAGTGCAGCTTTTCCCAAAGTGCAGCTTTTCCCAAGTGCATTTTTTCCAAAATGCAGGAGCATTGTCTGCTCAGCATGTGAAATCTGTGGATGAAGTTTGTTGTGGAGTTGTGTCCAACACAGGCCAGTGAGACTCAGTGGCATTTAGCTTAAAACTACGCTGATTATAAATATTTCTGACCAGCCACATAGGAGTTTGGAGCCCAGTTCAGCTTATTGTAGTCAGTTGTTCTTAAATCACCATAGAAAGTATTAGGTGGGGTTTTATTGATTATATCATAATAGATAAAAGGAGTTAAAGTTGCATTTTCATTCTGCATTTTAGAGGATGGGCTTCCCCATTATATGGGATTATTTCATTTAGTCTCAGATTTTGTTTTTAAAAGCTGGCTACAGGTTTTATTTTTTTTAAATTTATAGTCCAGGAGAGAAATGTGTGGGGATCTCAGGGGAAATTCTTTATCCACAAGCAGTGTGCTAGATGCTGATAAAATGTGTGAGGTAATTTCTATCTGCATTTTTGTCTGTTAAAGGTTATAAAAAGTTACAGGACCTTTGAGGGGTTCTTCAGGTTTTTTGCTCTGGTTTTGGGGCAGTTTTGATTGCTTATAAAACAGACTTCTCGTGCTCCTAAAGAGCAGGAGTGAAAGTGTTTTGGACAATGTTTCTTCAGCATAGGTTATGAGGCAGGAATTGGCTCAAACTCTTATTTTGTGTGTTCTTTTTAGTTCAGTGCTTGAGAACCGCTCCATAGCTTGTGACTGGGACAAGTCCTGAGTGGGAACATGAGCCCTGCCGGCTCCCTTGCTGTATAAATGCCCTCCTCGGCTGTATTTGGTTTATTATTTGTATTTGTATCAGCCGTTCGGGGTCCGCGGTTTTTCCGCGGTTTTTCCCCGGCCCCGAGGGGCGCCCGGAGCGGGGAGCGCTGCAAATGACGGCGGCGGTGGCGGGACTACAACTCCCAGCATGCTCCGCGCCGCAGCGCGTGATTGCGTCATCGCTGCGTCAGGGAGCCCGCGGAGCGCGGGACAGCCCCGGCGGGACGGACCGGGCCGGACCGGACCGGGACCGGGACCGTGAGGGGAGCGGGAGATGGCTCAGGACAGCGAGGCGCCTCCGGCCAAGCGGCTCAAGGCCGCGCCCCCCGGCACGCCGCCCCAGAGCGCCCCGCCGCCCGCACACGTGCAGCGCCGCTCCCTGCCCATCTCCGCAGCCCGCGGGCCGCTGCTGGCCCGGCTCCGCCGCCTCGACACCGCCGTCCTCATCGGTGAGTGCTGGACAAGCGTCCAGAAATGGTTTAGGTGTAAATGTGAAGTGTGGTGAACAGCGAATGGAATGGCTTCTGTGCTTTGGCAGCTGGGGTTAAAGCAGGGGGGACTTGGTTTCTGTGGAGAAGGCAAAAGTGTTTCCCTCTCCTTTCGCTGTCTGCCTGGAGTTCGGTCAAAGCCAGGTGGCAAAGCTCTCCTCTTCTGAAGGCTCCTCACTTAACATTTTCACTGATTTTCTTACGCTTTCTGTGAGTGCAAAGGAAAAACCTTTTTGTTAGACTTTCAGGAGCTGAAGATCTACAACTTCCCACCTGGTAGTCTAAAGACTCAGCATTTATTGTAATTAAATGAGAAATGCTTTGTATGTCACTCCTGTTGGTGTCACACTTCACTCCAGAGGGGCTGGAGTTCGTTTCTAAACGGGAGTGTGGCTGCAGAGCAGCTGGGTGGATGGAGCTCTGCAGAGGAGGGCGTTGGTGGCATCTCTGACCTGCCACTGCTTTGTGGTGGGATTTCCCTCTCTGTCTTCAGCTTCCCCATCCTCAAATAGGGCTAAAAGTTAACATAAAACCCCGAATTTGGCAATACTACAAAAGTGTGGGGCAAAACCCTATTCCCTTGATATTCCTTAGGAGAAACGGGCTCGGGGAAGACCACTCAGCTCCCTCAGTACCTGTACGAAGTGGGGATTGGCCACCCCGGCACCATCGCCGTGACCCAGCCCCGCAGGGTGGCGGCTGTCACCCTGGCTGCCCGAGTGGCTGAGGAGAAGAGGACGGAGCTGGGGAGGCTGGTAGGTTATCTACACATTAACTTTGGTGCTGCTCTGGGGATGGGACCCAGGCTTCAGTGGGAAGGACAGTAACCAGCCACAGGGGTGATAGCCTAAATTCCATAATAGTCTTAATTTCATAATAGTACTAATTTCATAATTAGTTTTGGGTGCCACACTGTAACAAGGATGTAAAAGCTCCCTCCACTGAGGGAGTGCTCAAAGGAACAACATGAAGATGGTGAGGAGTCAGGAGAGGCCACTTAATAGGAATGGCTGATAGCACTTGGTTTGTTCAGCTGGAGAAGTGGAGGATTTGGTCAAACCTCACCAAGGTCTGCAGCTTCCTCCTGAGGGGCAGCTCCAATTTCTGCTCTCTCTGGCCAGAACCAGGACCTGAGGGAACAGCTGGAGCTGTGTCAGGGGAGGTTTATGCTGGATCTCAGGGAAAGGTGTTTCCCCAGAGGTGCTGGCACTGCCCAGCCTCCCCAGGGAGTGGGAACAGCCCTGAGGCTGCCAGAGCTCCAGGAGAGTTTGGACAGCGCTGCCAGGAGTGCACAGGTGGGATTGTTGGGGTGTCTGTGCAGGCCAGGGGTTGGACTGGATGATCCCTGTGGGTCCCTTCCAGCTCAGGATATTCTGTGATTCTATAATTAAATGAATGCAGAAAAATGGCTCTTTACCTGTCCCATGACAGTGTGGGCATGGTCTGTCTCTGTGGTATTGTACTTCTTGATCTGGCTTGTTCCATTTGAAAAAATACTGATTTGTGAATTAAACAAAAAAAAAATATTGTGCTCTCTTCCATTGCTCCCTGTGTCAGGAATCACTGCCCAGGAGAGCAGAGTGCTGAATTAGTGTGGGTCTGGGGGAGAAAGGCACAGGAGAAAGACTTCCTCTGCATAAAATCCTTGGAGAGCCTGGAATAATTTCAGGGAGGAAAGGGGGGAAGGGAAAGGAGGAAGAGAAGGGAAGGAAGGAAGGAAGAAAGGAAGGAAAGAAAGAAACTTGGGGGCATTTGAAATGAACTTCTAGTTAGGAAGAAGAGATGTTGGCAGTATCATTTGGGTGGCTTGCTACATTTGGAAGAGGAACCGCTCTGCTTTCCAGAGCTTCCATGCCCCTCTGGTTGGCTCAGTGCAGTGCAGTGGCCAGGGGCTTTGTGGCACGGTGGCAGTGAGAAATGCCATCTGTGTGCCCGTGCTCCCTGTGCTCCCTGTGCTCCTTCCCCAGGTGGGCTACACGGTGCGCTTCGATGACTGCTCGTGCGCCGAGACCAGGATCCGGTTCCTGACGGACGGGATGCTGCTGCGGGAGGCCATCGGGGACCCTCTGCTGCACAAGTACAGCGTGGTCATCCTGGACGAGGCCCACGAGAGGACCATCCACACGGACGTGCTCTTTGGGGTGGTCAAAGCCGCTCAGAAGAAGCGAAAGGAGCGGGGCCTGCGGCCACTGAAAGTGTGTTCACCCGGGATGGCAGAGAAGGGCGGGGTGGGGCTGGGCTCTGAGCGCTCTCAGCGTCTCCTGGGGCCTTCCAAAGGTTTGGAATTTCAGCTTTGACCGTTTTTCTGTTCCTAAAAAGTCACTTCAAATCTCAGTAGTTAAGGGTGTCTGACTTATGGGAGTGGGCCTGGTATGACACCTCTGAACAAGGTATCTGGTCACCACCACACCTTTTTTCCACCAAAGCCCCTTGGGTGTGAGCTCCAGGCTAGACAGAGTGCTGGGGAAGTTTTGGCACTGCTGCTGAGATCACTGCAGGTGCAGAAGCTCTGGCTGATGGGACGTGCTCATTCCCAGGTAGAGCATTGCACGTGGGATGGGTGGATGTCACTGCTGGACATGAAATAAGTACACAGCAGCTTGGTAAGTTCAAAAGAGGAAAAGACCCAGTTTTATTCCAACATCTGGTATTTATAGAATTCCAAATGTGACTGTGGATTGGAGGATGGAATTACCACCTCTCCAACTACACTGGTCCAAAGATCAGTCAACCATTTCTCTCCACCCACAGAGAAATATGTAAGCTATTCTATTTCTGCATGAAACTGTGGGAACTCTAACTCTCAAATATGTAAACATTATCAGAAGGCTAAAGAAGTTTTATGAGAACTTTAAAACTTTCAAAAGAAGTATAAAAGAAAACACTTTTAAAAATCAGGGCAACAGGTGGACATGTCAGGAATTTGTGTGAAAGCACATTGGCTTTGCTGGAGGGGCCTGGCAGGGGCCTTGCATGGTCTTGTTCCACACACCAGCCCATTCTGTCACACCAGTATTTTCTGTTTGTGGTAAAAAGCTGATGGCTTTAACAAGGGGAAATCACTCTCTCCTGTCCCAAAGCCTGTGAGCTGTTCTCAGCATGATTCTCAGGATCCAGAAGCTGACTTTTGGCTGGTCCTGACTCATTGGTGTCCAGCTGGATGGAGGCTGCAGTGCTGACCCATGCTGTGCTCCCCCAAAGGTGATTGTCATGTCAGCCACGATGGATGTGGACCTGTTCTCCCAGTACTTCAATGGAGCTCCTGTCATCTATCTGGAGGGCCGGCAGCATCCCATTGACATCTTCTACACCAAGGAGCAGCAGAGTGACTACCTGCAGGCAGCACTGGTATCCATCTTCCAGATCCACCAGGTATGAGGGTCTCTCCAGGCTTGTGTCCCTCTGGGGCCAGGGGTTGGTGTTTTGTGCTGGGGTGTTTGACTGCCAAACACCTGGATTGTTGTGTTGTTCCATTAAACTCCATTTATGCTGAGGTCTCAATGCTGGGCTGACCCCAAGGTGGTAAAAGTCCATTTCAAGGTTCCCTAGCCCATGCAGCCAAAGGAGGAGTCTGGAATGCATCTGATTGCATTTT